GCTGCGACATGTGTGCTTACCAGAGGTTTCCATGGGTCTGCAGCAGGACCGTCTGACTCACCCTGGTCTGTGCAGATGCACCCACATGCACTCTTTCTTCCCCTGCACCTCCTGCCCCCTCACACCTCACACCCTCCACAGGCGCCTCGGCTCCCTGACCCGCGATGCTGGAGACGGGTGTAAACAGGAGTTTCCCCTCCTGGAGGGTTGGTATCTGAGGAAACCCTGCACCTGCCTGGGCCCCGCTCACCCACCTGGGCTTCTGGTGCGAGGACTGCTGCTTCACGGCCGTGAACTGTGCCTCATCCTGCAGCCGGTTCAGCGGGGAGTCTGACTTCAGGCGGATCCCATAGTAATGACACTTGGAGTTGCCCCTGGAAACCAACACCCAAGAGTCAGCTGTCAGCGGGGGCTGGCCACAGCGAGCTGGGACGCCTGCCTGGCCAGCATTAGGGCTCTCGGTGAAAGATTCAAGAGTTGTCCCTCGAGTGTTCTCGTTGGATAAAGGCTCTGAGACATGCTGTGCAGAGGAAACCCATTTCACTCTGTTTCACGGAAGCCCCTCGGCTGTTGTCAAATCCATCCCAATTCATGGTGACCCCAAGTGTGTCAGCGGAGGGCGGTGGTCCACAAAGTTTTCAATGACTAGTTTTTTTGGAAGGAGATCACCAGGTGCTACTTGCGAGGCACACCTGGGTGAACTAGAACCGACAGCCATTCCATTGACAGCCAGCATGTGTGGGCACCCCTGTTGGCACCACCCGAGGACTCTGGAAAGTCAGAAACTGTTTTGTTGAAACCACAACTTGCTGTTATGGAAAATCTCAAATGAAGAAAACGGAATTGCACCCCCACGTCCCATCACCAGCTTCCCAGGGGAAGCTTACAGCGGTGCCAGGGCCCTGTCTGCGCTGTGCCCTTGTTTTGTGTTTTTGTCTGTATAGGGAACCGGGGAGAGTGGAATGACGAAGGCAGCAGGGGGACTGATGCTCGCCTCGGGGCACGGCAGGGAGGGTGCAACACTGACGGAGACAAGGAGGAGGACAAGGTCCCAAAGTGCGTGTGGGGATGACTGCACAACTCCTCCTGAGATGGCTGATCTCTTGAGTGTACGATATGTTTACCAGAGCTCATAAAATATATATATTAAAAAAAAGACAACTGAGAAGAACATATTTATACCCAGAAATGTCTCAAGCGTTTACATTTAGCAACGACATGACTTGTCTTGGAACAGAGACGACGCTCGCTATTGGAGGACCGCCCCGGCTTCTGTGGAGCAGACCGTGGGAACCGCCGGTGGAGACACAGTCTGAGTCTTTGTCTGAATCTCCTCCGCTCCTGTTCTTTCTTTGGGCTCTACCTTTATGCGTAAACCTACACCCTTCACTTTAGAAAATAGATATGTGGGATCTAGGTTAATGAAATGTCTTTAAATGCCTAAATAGCATTCCGTAGTGTTCTGTGACATCATCGCAATGTAATCTGCATATGCAACAACAGAGCATTAAAATATCAAATAAAGGACACGCTGCCACCACAGCCTGACCCAAACACCAACCCCGCTGTCCTGTGGGGGTTGGGCTCCACGTGATCCCTGTGCTACAGAGCAGAGCCTTCTGGGCTCTGGGAGCTTTCTTGACGCCTGTCCTTATGGAAATTGATGGCCAGGCCTTTCTTCTGCAGCCCCTCGGGATGGGCTTGCACCAGCAACCTGTAGGTCACTTGTGAACTGATGCCAAGTTGAGCCTGACTCCTAGAGACCCCGTGGGAGCAAAGTACCACTAACTGTGCCTGACAGGGTTTCCAAGATTTCGAACTTCTGGCAGCGAGCGGGTCACCAGGCTTTTCCTCCGAGGCACCTCTAGGTGGGTTTGAACCACAAACCTTTCAGCTAGTTGACCTCAGAGAACATGTCTCCAGGACGTGGTTAACTCAGGATGTCTCCTGGCTCACCCAAGTTAGGATACCTCAAAAGAAGGAGGAGGGCTCACGTTCCCCAAATGCCCAATTTCTGCTTCAAGGAAAAGGGGGCAGGTGGGGGCATCAGACAGTGGCCTCACCTGGTCCCCAGGCGTCGGGTCCGCAGGCCCATGAACACGCAACGGATCAGTTTCCCAAATGAGGCGGCGTTCACAGGGTCCAGCTTGTGGTCCTGACAGTGTCGAAGGTAGTGGCTGTAGACAGAACTTCTGGGGAGACTCACACCTTCGGCAGTTTCATAATTATCTAACAGCCACTGGAGCTGGACAGGGAGCAACCGGAAAAACACTCAAGCAGGTAGCAGATCTCAGAGCAGAGGTATAATAGTGTTCTCTCCACTCACAAGCCAGATTGGAACATTCGCTTTCACTGACATAGCTATTAATGAATAGCCTACTTTGAGTCATTCACAGCGTAGCGGGTTATACATTCGGCTGTTAACCGACAGGTCACCAGTTCAAAGCCACCAGTCACACTGTGGGAGAAAGTTGAGGCTTTCTACTCCTGAAAGAGTTACAGTCTTGGGGGGAGCGGGGAGGGAGGGGGAAAATGATGACCTAATGTTGGGAGTTTGAGTGGAGAGAAAATGTTTTGAGAATGATGAGGGCAATGACTGTACAAATGGGCTTTACACAATTGATGTGTGTATGGATTGCGATAACAGTTGTATGAGCCCCTAATAAAAGGTTTAAAAAAATAAAAGACATCAAAAAAAAAGAGTTGTACGAGCCCCCAATAAAATCATTAAAAAAAAAAAAAGAGTTATAGTCTTGGAAACCCACAGGGGCAGTCTTACCCTGCCCTATGGGGTCCATATGGGTCGGAAGCGATTAGATGACAATGAGTTTACTCTTTTATTCATTCATGTTTCAACCTGTTTTCAGGTTCTTTGACTTATTTGATTAAGATCAGCACATGAGTGAGCCCTGTTAGGTCTGTTTCATAATCACTGAAACACTGTGACATGTCAGGCATGATTTATACACCAAAGACAAGACTGCCTCCCTCCCGGGCAGCCTTGCTGCTGCCACTCTAGGGCTAAGCAGAGTCCCTTCAAAACATGGATCAGCTTGACGGGGCTTGATTCACATGGGGTTGGCAATTACATCTTATTATTTGCAGTCACTTCATGTAATGAGGTGCGACAGCCTGAAAATAGGAGTTTTCAAAGCAGGTGAAGTCATTGCTTGGACAGGAGCACGGAGGGAAGAGCTGGGTGTGACTCTTACGCAGGGGAGAGGTTCCACTTGCTTCACTCAGTCCAGCTTCTTCCACAGAGACGGAGTCTCTAAGAGGCTGATGAGCACACGGATAACAGAAGAGCCAGAGCAGCAGCTCCCATGGACAAGGAGACTTCGCTTGTATTCCAAGCTCACAACTCAGAGACACTCACTGTAGTTGAGTCCGTTGTGCCTACCACACAGGGCAGAACTGCCCCTGTGAACTCATCTTCCTCCTAGGGAGCTGGGTGGTGGTTTCGAACTGCTGACCTTGGGTTAGCACTCTAACACATAACTACTATGCTACCAGGGCTCCTGACAGATGATGTCTCACAAGCGCCCCCGACATAAGATTCACGCTCCTTCTTTTGCCAAGGGAGAGGCTGAGGTCAGAGCTATCTGGACTCAGACAGCTCTCTCCCTGCAGCGGCGGGTGCTGCCAGTCTGCTGTGGCCTGCCTGCTGGGCTGTTGGCCCCGGCGGGGACCCCACGTACCGTGACTGGTGATGACCGGGACCGAGACTTGTGGGCCAGGGAGAGCCTCATGCTGTCCATTCCCCCACGGATGAGATAGGTGCCCGGGCTGGAGACGACGGGGGCTCCTGTGACATCCATGGCGATGCCCACCACGCTGTGAGAGGGAATCGCTGGTGGGGACGGGGCTGCCACAGCCACCTGGGAGCCGCCTGAGGCCTCAAAGTAGGACAAGGCGGCACTGCTGGGGGCGTACATCTGGGGCTCAGGGTTGTAGGTGTAGGCCATCCGCCTGTCAGAAAGAAAGGTCACCGTGGAACCCCCACCCCGTTTAGATGCCGTGGCGTTTCTAATGGGAACTATGGCTCTGTGACATGTGGGTCCCAAACCATCCTCAGGAAGTATTCAGGATCAAATGCTGACTAATCAAAAACTCATCCTCTTGGAGGTCTACGAGTGACTGCAGGGGGACCTCCTGTGTGGACACGGTGCAAATCACGCCCGTCTACAACATGTAGCCTGCAAACCCACCCCGAGTCATATTGGCTGTACAGGCTGGAGGGGATGTCCCACAAGATTCCCGAGGCGGGACATCTCTGTGAAGACAGACTGCTACATCTTTCTCCTGCGGGACAGCTGGTGGTTTCCAACTGCTGACCTTTCGGTTAGCAGCCGGGCACTCTAACCCCACAGGTCTATGCATAGGATGAAACTACACAGAACTAAGCCGGTGCCCGTGGCCAGCACATGGACCCCACCTCATGGTGGCCCCGTGTGCGTCAGAGTAGAACTGTGCTCAAAAGATTCCCAAGAGCGGCTGTTTTGGAAGATTCCCAACGGCGGCTGTTTACCCTGGCACCTCTGAGCAGACTCAAACCTCCAACTTCTCAGTTCGCAGCAATGTGCATGTGCATTAGTTGTCTGTTTGCACCACCAAGGACACCCATTAACATGATGAAAGAGAAGAATTGACCAAATGCAACCAGAAGCACAAAGAGGTAGAAGAGTCACTAAAAGGTGAGTGGGGGTGGGGGTGGGGGTGGGGGTGGGTGGGGAGGGAGGAAGAACACGCACATGGCTTCATCGGTGAAGACGGCGTCTGCCCCCTCCACGTACTGCACTGGTGCCGGGTACACGTGCTGCACAGGCCGCACCTGCAACATCACACAGTCGACGTCATGGACGGACGCTTCCTCCTCCTGCCTCTCCATGACACCCACACTGGCACTGTCCTAGCCTGCTTTCTCTGCCCTGCAGTAAGGACCGAGTCAGCCCTTCCAGAGGGACAAGGAAGTCCATGTTGAGTTCATCCCAACTCACTGCAAGCTCCTGTGGAGAACAGTCCCCTCGGGTTTCCCCGGCTGAAACCATCACGAGAGCGGGTGACCCGGTTTTTCTCCCCTGGAGCCACTGGTGGGTCTGAACGGCTGACAGGAAAGACTACATTTTCCCCTGGAGCCTGACAGCAACAGGAGTAAGCATGAGCTGTACTGGGGTTGCTAACCACGTGCGTCCCCTTGCGTGCATCCCCTTGCGAACTGCTGATGCCCAGGGAGCAGCAGGGAAGAACCGCCACCAGCCCCTCCATGTGGACACCCAGCAGTCACAGCTCACAGGGCCAAGGGCCTGCAGCCTCTAAGGGAGAAGGCCAACCTGCTAGCCAGGAAGCCCAAGTCAAGGGCAGAACTGGGCCTGTGCAGTGCCAACAGACCCTGCCAGGGCTGAAAGGTCAAGCTATTTTCCTCCATGTTTTCTTTGGGGGACCAGGCAGGACTGGGAGCCTGTTCCCTCGGAGAGGCCGTGGCCCTGGGAGTCGTCCTTGGGGTTTGAAGACCTGAAAAACATTAGGTAGGATGGGGCTGGTGCCCACCTGCTAGGACACGCAACCATGGCTACCCTGCAGAGAAGGGGAAGGAAGCAGGGAACCTGGAGTGGAGAGGGAGCGAGAAGGGATAGAGGACGAAGCCCACACCATCCCCCACGCGGTCAGTTCACCTCCCCAGCAAATGACCCTGGAGATGCTGGCCCTCATGGTGGGCACCCATCTCTCTGCAGAAGTAAAACTTTGCTGCTGTTGTTTAGAGCATAGGAGCAAAACGTAGACCAACCAGCCGTTTCCTCTCGCATAATTCCTTGAAGCAGATTCCATTGCTGGAACTGTATGGATATTCTCACCCTCCGTCGCCAAAAGGTGCCTTTCCCTTTAACACACACGTGCTGGCCTCTAGGCTTCCTGTCTCACAGTCCAGGTGGCCATCATCATGGAATCCCAGGTTGATAGACAGTTCCCATAGTCAATGAAGCCATGTAAATTGTTCCTTAAAAAAGTACAAGGCTCCAGGCAGACAGTCTTACTAATTAAGTAAAACGCTCTTTGGAGACGTCAGGCGTTATTTTTGGTTTAAAGATTAAAGACTATCTCGGGGCAATATTTTTAGGGGTTCATCCAAGCCCAGTGGCTGTAGAAAGCCTGTTTTCAATGAGAATATGAAACTCTGTTCTAATCACCTCCTTTTCATCCTGATTCCTCCACAGAATCTTTATCAAAATGTTCAGTCACAGTATCTGGACACCATCCGGTTCTTCTGGTCTCAGGAGGAAGGAGGTGGCTGTTCATGGAGGCAATTACCTAATATTTCCTCTCCCCCTCCTGTTTCTCAGGGAGGGATGTTGATTGAAGCCCAACACAGCCAAATTGTAGGATGAGGACATCGATTCTGCCCAGGTCTCCCCACCATCATCCCTGAAAGCTCATCCTTAGAGCTGCAGGACACGGCTGATTCTCACCTGCCAGGAAACTCAGGCCTGGAGTTATATTCGCAAAATGGACCATTCCCTACGAGGGGGAAGTTCTAGAAATGATGAGTGGTGTCAACAGGAGAGGAAATCAAAGCCCAGGGAGACAGGTGAATACAGAGTCACCCAGCAGGTCAAAGACATCTAGAGAGAGAGAACTGGAGTCGGCCCAGCTGCTGAGGAGGGTGGGGGCAGACTCCGAAGTTACACGTTGGCTTAGACAGGTCAGTGAGGAAGTCAGACTTGGGCCCTGACCGAGGACCTGGGTTTCTGTTGGGCCTCCTCAAGCCTTTGCTTCCCACAGCCCTACAGACCTTCCCGGGTTAGTGACAGTCAGAGAGGAGTGCCTCTCTACCAGGTGCCACTCAAGGCCCAAGGGCTAAGAGAGCTCCAGCCTGGAGTCTAAAACGGCCTGGGTTGATGTAACACAGCAGCAGTTCCCACACCCTGTCCTTCGGACAAGCCTGGCCCACTAACTGTTTCTGTCGAAAATGTTTTAGTGGTGTTCAGCCACTTACCGTCTCCCACTGCTGATACAGTGATTTGGCCAGAGACCACCTCAGCTCTCAAAGCCTGAAATACTTAACCTTCAGAGCTATGCCAGGAAAGGCTTGTGGACGGCTGTTATCGATCACTGTGGCTCAACAATGATTGGTGCCCTTATCAGGCAGGTTAACCACTGTTGTGGAGTCAGTTCTGAAGTAGAAAGCCTCCTCTTTCTCCCAGGGAGCTGCTGGTGGTTTTGAACTGCTGATCTTGCAGTTTGCCACCCAATGCGCAACCACTGCACCACCAGGGCCCCTTCTTGGTAGGTTAGTGCAAGCTTTATTCTTCACAATCTAATTTCAGAGGAGGCACTCCTGTGAGGGGCGGTACTCGTTAGTGTGTGGGCTTGTCTCCCCTGGAGCACCCACATTCTGCTAATCGGGAAACCCTCGCTACCAGTCTGTGCTGCCACCTGGGGCGTGGAGGGCTGATTGTCCACCGAGCGCCTATAGATGGCTTAGTGCAAAACTATCTGCAGGAAATGCTGGGCTTTTGTTTTGAAATTTGTACAGCTGCCAGAACCATCTGGCCAAGGCAGCACACAGAAAGGACCACCACCCGCAGAGAAGTGATCGCTGAGACCACTCTGCGTTGCTAAGTGCTGCTGCCTAGTGTCAGCTCATAACCTGCTGGGGGTGGGTGGCACCATGGGGAAGCGCTCAGGTTTAGCTAAGTGTCACACTGGCAGCTAGAACTGACCGAGAAGTTCTGTGGGAGAAAGACCTGGCGATTCGCTCCTGTAATGACTACAGCCGGGAAAACCCTACAGGGAAGAACTTGATGAGTCTGTTCGTGGCCCTAGAACACGCCGAAGAGGAACGCGAGAGGGAATGGCTGTACAGCTCGCAGAATGCAGTCGATGCTACTGAACTGCGTGTGTATGCAGAGGCTGGTTCCTCTACGAACATTCTCAACGATGGCAACCATGAAGCCCAGGGGGCAGTTGGTTCTACTCTGTCCAGCACCGACTGGGCTCGGGCTCCCTCTGAGCGGGCTCAGCTGTCCTTACCTGCTTGCGGACCGATTGCACTCTGGGCACGGGAATTGTCGGCGTCTGGGCCCTTTTGCGAGGGGAGCCTGCTGCCTGGATCAACATCCGCTGCAAGGGAATGGACAAGAAGGACATGTAGACACTCACATGGAGAAGCATGGGAGTGGGGGGAGGGAGCCTGCCAGCTTCCGGAGGCTTCGCCTCCATAGCCTGAAGTCTGGTCGGCAAGGTGGCACCCCAGGACACGCTAGACGTTCCCTCATTTTACACAGTGGGGCAAATGGCACCCAGCATGGTTATGTAAAACCTTGGAGCATCAGAAGATGGACTTCCAGGATCTGTGCCCCCCCAATGTTGTGTGTCCCTTGACCCCACCGCACTCCTGGGCCCTCATGGGGTGTCCGGGTTGCTTTCTCTGGGCTAGGGATTGATTGTGCAGAGCCATGAGAACGTGAAGGCTGGAACTGCGCCCACAGTGCACAAAGGAGCCAGCACGGGACTGCTTGTTTATCAGAAGCCTGAGCCCTGGAAGCCCGGGCTGAGACCCTGAGACTTCCCAACAGGGGCCCTGAAGTCCCTGGCCGTGGTGGTTCTAAAGGACCCTGGTTGGGCAGCTAAGAGCTTGGCTGTTAACTGAAAGGCTGACTGTTCAAGCTCACCCAGCAGCTCCACCAGAGAGAAGAGCTGCCAGCCTGGTGCTGTAAAGCTGAGTCCAGAGAACCCACCGGGGCTGTTCTACCCTGTCACACGGGTGTTACCTGTCGGAATCCACTCTATGGTGATGCTGCAATGGGCCGTTTCCTAGAACAGCGCAAGGGTTGCCCCACCGAGCACCATTACACATGTGGAGTGCATGTGGAGTACTATGGACACTGACAAACCAGAATCTGCCTGCAGCAGTCACAAGAACCCATCAGGGACCGAGCACCCTGAGTCTCAGCCGATGACACAGAGAACATAGAAAGTCACTGCCATCACGTGCGGCCCTATAGGGCCCCTTCTGCCCCTGTGAGTTTCCGAGACTGTAACTGTTTAGGGGGCAGAAAGACCTGTCTCCTGAGGAGCAGCTGGTGGTTTTGAACCACGGACTTTGGAAACTTCAGCCCAACATATAGCCATTAACCCACCAGGGTTCCTCCAAAACTCAGTGGTTCAAAACTTAGCAGGACGAGGGAAAAAAAACAAAACCCTAAATGGGATGGACAGACTGACATGATGCTGCCGCCTCCAACCCCCACCCCAGACACCCAATGGGGGCATCGGGACTCCATTCCTCTTTATGGCTGAGTAATATTCCTCAGCTGAGAGGAGCCCTGGATAAATGTCAAGAACATTAAGCTGAGTGAGAGAAGCCAGACACAAAGGGCACATATGTATGCTCCCACCAGTATGAAACGGGAGCCCTCGGGCAGACTGGTGTTGCCAGGGGCTGAGGGGAGGGCATTGCAGAATGAGTACTCCGTGGGCAGGAACATCTCCTTCTGGATGATGAGAATGTTCTGGAACTACATGGTGGTGATGGTGACAGAAATTTGTCAGTGTGCTAACTAAATAGCACTGGCCCGTGCACTTTAAGAAGGTGAACTTTGTTATATGGATTCTACTGCAATTGAAAATACATACATACAAAGGTAAGTGGGAATACTAAAATTTACATGTATACAGAGTTCTTTATGAACTACCTGTATACAGTTTTTGCATTTGTATCCAATGGCGAAACGACGAGGTATGTAGCCAAGTGGCTATTTAAGTTAAGTTGGGTTTAATCCAGCTCCTCACACACACTGGCCACACGTCAATTGCTCCAGGGTCCTGGGTGGCGAGCTCCAGCGGGGCAGCATAGACACAGATCGCCTCCACCTCAGCTGTGGAATGCTCTGGGCTGGCCTAGGAAGGGGTCGAGAGAGCAGGGGCTGAGTAGAAGGCCTCTTTCTGGGAGGAGCTGGCCGCTCAGCTGCAGCGCTCCTGGTACGGGAGCTGGCAAGGACTGGTGGGAAGGAGGCTCAGGCGGCAAGCAGGCCTTGTGTGCCTGGGGGAGGAGTGGGGAGGAGAAGAGGACGGGCCAGCAGGGAGGATGGAGGTTGGACGCATCTGTGGGAGAGATGGGAACCTGACAGTCGCAGGGAGGGGCTCCTGGTGGCTGCTGGAAAGGCTCCGGGAGCCCACTTGGGCACTGGTGCCGAGAAGGGGCTTGGGAGAATGGCCAGGCAGCAGAGGGCTGACGTGGACAGGCTCAGTAAGGCCATGACTTCCTGACAGAAAGACGGGGTCTGATCATTCATTCTCAGTGCCCTCAGATGGGCCTCCAAGCCCCCAACTCCCCTGCCCCTACGTGTGAAAGAAACAGATGCAGAGTTTAAATTGCGCATGCTGTTTCTGACCCATGGCTGTCGCTGGAGCGGGTGCTATGGGGTGAAACTGCTCCACGGGGTTCTCCTGCCTGTGATCTCTACAGACAGAAGCCAATTACCAGGCCTTTCTTCCATGGCACCACACACACGGGGCTGGGCAGCAGCAGCACTGCACGCGGCACTAGCCTTTAGGCTGGGTCACGGTGGCATGCGCCCGTAGCAGCACCAGAGGATGAAGTGGAACGACGCGAGGTTTAAATGCTCGCTGGAGCAGACGGCAGGTCTTCTGTGCTTAACCACTGTGCATCAGGGCTCCTTCCTCAGCCCAGTTCTAGGTCTGCCCTTGGGCTGAACTACGTTACACCCCACCCCACCCTTCATCATTTCCTTTCACCCGGCTCCAAATTTTTAGATTGCTGCTGGTGTCTTGAGGGTAGTCACACGACCACAGTGACTCTGGAGACGTCAACAAGCTCTGGTCCCTTCTGTGGGCTTGTCTCAGGTGCGCTTAGGTCCCTTACACTCTGCTTCTGCGTTAGCGTCCCTCCCCGTGGTAGAAGTCCAGAAGGAAAGAGCCTGAAGGTGAAGGTTCGCTAACTGTAAAGTCTGAAGAACATGGTCCTCCTGATGCTAGATTCAATCGTGCACCAAACACTAAGAATCCTAACTTATGTCTTGACCTATCCTCAATGTACTCCTGATGATAGGGCAAATGCCAAGGCAATTTCTCCATGGAGAAAGTGTCCGTGGAAAGACAAGAGCAGATGGAAACAGCACACGATGGTTGCACAGGAACATAATTAGTGTCACGCAAGTGCACGTGTGCAGAAGATTGGAATGGCAAAGGTTTGGGTACATATATTTTATCACACACACACACACACACACACACACAAAATAAGCATAAACAAAAGTGGATTTAGCAGAGTGGTGTCTTTTCCAGTTTCTATTATTTCTTCTTGAGTGGGGCCTTTTGAAGAAAAATGAGAAAGCTAAACAATAAAGGCTTTGGAAATTGATTATGGTAGCAAATGTACAGTTCTTCTTTGTTTTTCAAATGTACAATTCTGCTGGACATACTAGAACTATGGAATGATTGATATATGTATTAGTCCCAATTAATAAAACACAAACAAACAAACAAACAAGGCTCTGCTATTTCAACAGCAGCTCTCTGGTGGCTGATAAACCAATTCAGAAAAGTGAGGCCTTTGTGAGGGGAGGGGAGGAGCTCATAACAGAGTACAAAAATGAAAAACAGCCGAACCACTGGAGGAAATCTCTCTCAACCGGTCACAGGCTCTGTCCAGGGGGAACGAGTGAGTTGGCACTGCAGAGGGACTGGGTGTCCCCTGTTCTGTTACCTGAGGCGAGGCAGGCATGGGCTGGGCACCAGGTGGCAGGGCTGCCGCCGACAGACGCAAAGCCACAGAGGCTCGTGATGCCGATCCACCCTCGGAACGCTGCATGCTCAGCCCTAGAGAGAGGCGGGGAGAGAGAGAGGGGGACCAGGCTGGAGACGTGAGGCCCCAGTGGGAAAGTCCAACAGGCACAGAGACGGGAGAGTCCGCTTCCGACTCAGGGTGACGCCAGGGTGTCAGAGCAGAACTCTGCTCCAGGCGGTTTCCAGTGGCTGGTTTTCCTGGAAGCAGAACACCAGGCCTTTCTCTCGAGGTGTCTCCAGACGGATTGGAACCTTCGACCTTTCTGTTAGCAGCAGAGCACTCCCCCCAGCCAAGCGAGTTACCTAGAAACCCTGGTGGTATCAGGTTAAGTCATTATTCCATAGAAGAAGCGGAGGGGGGTGGGGCGGTGGAGAGAGGGAGCAGGGAAGGAAGCTCCCTGAGGCCCATCTCCACAAAGGCAGCCCCTCCTCAGCAGAAGGCTGGGACACCAGCTTTCCCGTTCCCTATCTGACCACAGCACACTACTCTGAAGGGCCAGCTTGACCCTTCCACTTGTTCACCCAGCAAACTGAAGATGCTTGGTGACTGCTTTCCATCTGGGGATCTGGGCTACCCCAAATCACAAGTGTGCTCTCCTAGGGCAGGGTTTCTCCCCCTCAGCACTGAGGACATTTCTGGGTACAACCTTCTCTGGGGTGGGGTCATGCTGTGTTCTACGGTTTTAAGCAGCATTCCTAGTCTCTACTTACTCGATGCCAGCAGTGCCCCTGACCCCCAGTTGGGACCATCAAAAATGTCCTTGGACATGGTCAAATGTCTTGCCCCTGGTAGAAAGCCACCAACTTCAGGGGAGAGCTCTGTGTGGGGACAGTGCACATCTTACCCTTGGCTAGACAGAAGTTCTCAGGGGCGTTAGCAGGAAGATAGGAACCGCGGCTCCTCACAGAGCCCTGCCCCTAGGGGACTGCAAGTCATATTTCTCTGCTATCAGATCTGTAAGTCTCTCATGAAGGTACTTAAAAATCTATCTACAAAAGGATCAGTTAGCACCAGCACAAAGTGGCTGATGATACAAATTCATTCTATGAAAGGAATAAAGACCAAACTTGTTTAATAAGCAGCTGTTGGACTTCGGCATCAGAGCAACAGTCATAGGTTCCCAAAGTTACTTGGCCGACTGCCCCATTGTCAGAAAAAAAGTTTTAACCCACCCCTACCCCCAGCAATTAAAAATGTTTGTACTAAAAGCCATAATCCATAATGTCAGTGTCTGCTTTAGTAGAACCCACTTGGATCAGCCCACAGGAGCCCTGGTGATGAAGTGGTTACGCAATGGGCTGCTGACCACAAGGTCAGTAGTTCAAAACTACCAGCCACTCTTGGGAGAAAGAAGAGGCAGTTTATTCTCATCAAGACTTCCAGTCTTGGAAACCCACAGGGGCAGCCCTACCCTGTCCTACAGGGCCCCTATGAGTCTGCATGGCCCCGACGGCAGGGAATTTGGTTTGGGTTTGGATCAGTCCAGCACCGCCCAAGGGTCAGTGTGGCCCATCAGGGGAAACAGTGATAGCGATGACGTGAGGAGGGCATGGTTCTCCATGTGTAGCATCTCTCCCAGGTCCTGCCTCTAGGGAAGCAGTGAAGGCCCGTCTCTTTAGGACACACATGTGGTTAGCACCATGCCCAGCACAGAATTGAAACTCAACAGACACTTGCTAGATTGTTTTATGCATTTATTTCCTGCCCTCAGAGCTCCCACCTCCAAGAATAAACAGGGGGGCCACACCCTTTTAAATGTGAAAACAAAAACTGGGAATATTAAAAGAACTTGCCCAAGGAAAGCAGAAAGGGGTACGATTGTATTTGAATTTATGTGTGTGCTGGTTTAATCCTACCAACATTACGCCTGGTAAAGTGGTCAAGTGGAGGGGCAGCAAAAAAAATGAGGAAGACCCTGGACAAGCTGAATGGACATAGGGGCTCCATCGCTGGGCTCAAACGTAAGGAGAGCTGTGAGCATGGCGCAGGACCAGGACGCCTCCTGCTCTGTTGTCTACAGGGTTGGACTTGCTGCACCTAACCACCACCCACAACTCCCATAAAGAGCTGCAATCTCAGAAACGCCCCCCGGGCAGTTCACCCTGAGCTGTGCGGTCACTAGGAATTGGAATCGCTGATGGCATGCATTTGGTTTTTGGTTCTTAGGGGAGCAGGCTATTATTCCCGTAGCTCTCCTACTTCCTTACCTTTACCTTTGGGGGGTGGAGGTGGCGGGGGGAACCAGCCCGTGCTGCCGCACGGTGTCCGCAGAGTGACGTGGAGGTGGGCTGGGGTACTGAGTATTGTTCAGCTTCAGTCTGACGGCGCCCCGTTCCTCTCCTCGTCCAAGATCGAGAGCCCGCACATCCCCTAGACCTCCAACTGCACCTTTTGCAGGGAACTGGCGTTGGAATGAGTCTGTTGGAAGTTTCTTAATCTAAGTGTCTTGTTCAGGGCTTTTCGCTAGAGGTTTAAACTGGCCGTCTGCAAGCATGGGTCCCGTCAGGCTACGGGCGAGGATGGAGTGGGGTGTTGATGGTGGCCCAGGGTCTGACGAGGAAACTCACAAAGTGAAAGCATCCAGGAAGCTCCGGCCGGTGGCTCCTGTTCCACTGGCTGCCCCGAAACTGCAGGGCGGGAGGCATGTTCTTCAGCAACACACCGATGTTCCTATGGCCTCTGCATGCTGTTTACTGCATGCGGTCTGCATGGATGGGTCAGAAATGGCTCCCTGGCAGTGGGTTTGGGTTTCATCTTTTGTGGGGAGCAGTGACTAAATGTACCGCAACGATGGACTTATACTGCATGGAGACTAAGGATAAATGGTTGCAGCCAAGTCTCGGAGTAATCTCTTAGGCTTTCCGTCTACCCAGATGCAGCCCTTGGGAAGAACCTATAGTAAGATGCTAGCTTATTGACTGAAAGGTTAAACCCATTGGGAGGTACTTGGAAGTAAGGCCTGGCTATCAGCTCCCAAGAGATGACAACATTGAGAGCCTCATGGGGTGTACTTCCATTCTGAACATTTGAGGTTCAAGTCCATACAAGGAAGAAGGAGCCCTGGCGGTCCTCACTTAAGCACTAAGCTGCTAACCACAAGGTCTGAGGTTCGAGTCCACCAGCCGCTCTGCAGGAGAAACACATGGCCCTTGGCTTCTGTAAAGAATACAGCCTTGGAAACCCTACAGGGTGATCCGACACTGTCCCCCCAGATCACTGAGTAGAAACGGACTCGACAGCCCCTGACAATGATATGCGAAGCACATGAAGAGTGAGAGTGTCCCCTAAGATGGTTTGGGTATAGTTTTATGTAAGTGTCATGAATAACTCACGTAGCTAATACACATTTATCAAATCAGGGACAGAGAAACAGAGGGAGGTTCTCAAGGAAGTGGATTCACACAGTGCTGCAACAATGGGCTCTGGCAGAGGAACAAGGCAGGTGAGGATGGCGCAAGGCAGGGCAGTGTTTCCTTCTGCTGTGCACAGGGTTGCTATGGGTCGGAACCGACTGGATGGCATCTAACCACAGCAAACATGTACCTAATAATACAATTTCACACTACTTGGACCAAACACTAACAGAACTAAAAGGAAAAATACATAATTACCATCGAAGCTTTAAACAACCTTCTTTGAGTAAGTTTTATAGAAGAACTGAATTAAAATGCCAATAAGGATTAGAACTGAATGACAGTCAACCATATTGATCTGACACGCACAGAACACTACAACCAGGGTCTGACATTCTTCCCAATAACACAGGAACAGTCATTACAATGGGCTACATTGTGAGCCATAAAATAAGTCTCAATCCCAACAGAAAAGCTGGGGCAGGGAGACGTCGGGCAATAAAACATGACAAGATAATAATAATTTATAAATTATCAAGGGTTCATGAGAGAGAGGGGTGGGGGAAGGGGGAGCGGGGAGGGAGGGGAAAAATGAGGAGCTGATAACCAAGGGCTCAAGTGGAAAGCAAATGTTTTGAGAATAATGATGGCAACAAATGTGTAAATGTGCTGGACACAATGGATGGATGGATGGATTGTGAGAAGTGTTGTATGAGCCCCCAATAAAATAATTTTTAAAAAAAAGTCTCAATCTTTTAAAAAGCCTAATCAGAGCATGTATGTGCTTCGGCCAAAGGAAAACAAAATTGGGGATAAGCCGTCTAGTAAAACCCCACATATTGATGAATTTAAAATGAACACATCTAAAATAACCCAGATGCTAAAGGTCACACTACCAGAGAAAGCAGAGTATCTTGCACTGATAAGGGAGACGCCGCATGTCAGAATGTGGGGGTGCTTGTACATTATCACTTCATGCGCTTACTGAGGAAGGCATGAAAATGAATCATCTAAGTTTTCCACTTTAACTATAGAAACCTAAAGGTTCTGTCTGTCCACCTTGCACCCAGCTCCCTATGCTGGGGGGCTATTTATTCCGAACGGGAGTCTTATTGTTCAAAGTGTCAAAGAACGAAAAAAAAGAAACTGTTCAAGGACAAGCACATTAACCTTAAATGAAGTAGAAACCAAAAACCCACTAGCAATGAGTCAAGTGCAGCTCATAGGGAGCCGATAGGGCGGAGTAACCTGCCCCAGGGGCTCCAAGGCTGTACCTCTTTACAAAAGAAACCACCTCATCTTTCTTTCTTCCATTGTGTCGCCAGGGCTCCTTCAAGTGCAGCAGAAAGAAGTCATACAGGGCCAGATAAATTAAATGTTTTAAAGGAGAAAGCATGCCCAAAGCTGGTTCCTTAAAAACACCGACAGCTCCAGAGACAGACTGATGAGAAAGAAACAGAGAAGCCACAAATTGCTGCTATGACAAGATCAACCACCCCAGCTCCTGCAGACATCAACAGGGCACTAAGCAACGATGAGGAGCAACCTGAGCTACAAAGTCAGCTACTTAGATCAAATGAACACTTAAAAAAAGCACTCCATACAAAAACTCACTCAAGATTAAACAGAAAATGTGAACTGACATATATCTGAGGCCGTGGTTCTCAACCTTCCTAATA